TGTGTGTGTGTGTGTGTGTGTGTGTGTGTGTGTGTGTGTGTGTGTGTGTGTGTGTATCCGAGGGTGCACTCCCCACCTCCTGCTCCCGCCCGGCCCCGTATTTCACTCAGACAGAAGCAGACATAAACCGTTCTGTCACACAACCTGCTCACATTCTTATGATTATTTCCCTACTTTCGTCTTATGATTCAAAATCCGACTCGAAACCCCCCCCCCACATCAATCCTCTGTTCCTCACTCCGGCAAGACTTATTGCAGCAGAGCCACCATCTCTACTGCTGCTATACCCTATTCCAATCCTACAGCTAGCCCCCTCACTAGTAGGACGCATGATATCCCACCATCTCCTTCTCCCACTCACCTCGTTTCTTCTTTAGAATAGACCGCCGGGGTCCTAAAAGAAAATCCAAAAATCTCGACCTCCCTAACAAACCTTTCCAGAATTCCTCAAAGTTGTCTTACTCCCTGCCGAGCTCTTCCAGGCCTCACACCCCCACTTCCTGCTCGGTTACAGGGCAACACAACTCGGCCCAGCTCCGACCAGCGTCATCCCAGCAGCAAACCTTGGTTGTCCCATGAGATGCCCACCCCAAAGCATCCCCAGATCTCTCTACCAGGCCTCACGCTCCTGCTGCGTCAATAGGTTACAGGGCAACACCCCAGCACCGGCCAGCGTCGTTCTGGCATCGAACAACCGCAGATCGCTGAGTATAACAACTTCAAAGCAGCCTGGGAAAAGTTGATAGAAGCCCCAGATTCCTAAACATTCTCAAGCCCCCCTTAACGGCCATTGGCAAACAGGATAAGATTCAGAAAAAAAGGGGGGTCAAAACTAGAAATGAATAATACCAACTGTCATAAAATCCCTCTCTCAACAAGCGGACCGTCGGTCCTGGCTTTCGGTCCTCGTACTAGAACTCACCTGGTCTCATACCCCCCTCTGCTAGGGTAACAGGGCACCACAACCCACCCTAGTACCGACCAACCTAGTTCTCACGAACAGGAAGTGCCTTCCTCCCTCGACAATTCCTTTAGCGGCAAACCCCTAAACAGGTTACAGGGTCCATACCCCGGTGCCAACTACGTTGGACGATCTGGTTATGCCTTCCACCCTCGGCATAACTCCATAGACCTCAAGCTCCCCCTGGGTCACAGAGCACAGCTCCAGCACCAGCCTATGTCATCCCAGCATCGTCCTCCTGACCTACTCACCTTAACCGACATCTCCCGTCTGTTGAAAATCCCCTTTCGTTCTTTCCATCCACCCATTCTAGTTTCCCCCTAGGCAACCATCAACAGAAAAAACACCACCACAGTCGTAGATCTTTTCATCGAAAATCATATCTGTATCGTCTTTTGAGAAGTCAAATTTAAAAATGAAATCAATTAGTAATCAAGGTAATTTAGGTCATGAATTTTTGGCATCCAATTCAGAACGAAATTTCGAAAAGAAGAACTAAATAAGAAGTAGATTCTGATGTCCACACAAACTTTCGACTCTGATTTCCATAACCCTAGTTCAAGAAATCGCTCAGACTATAAATCCAAAAGTAGTAAGCAAAAAAAAAACAATCGACAATCAATTAAGAGGGAAGGTCACTCAGACAATAATCAGGAGATTCTAAGCCGAAAACGAATCGACAATCAAGACAGTAAATGAGAAGTAAAAAGTACCAACTACCGATCAAGATCTACTAAAAAATCTGCATTAAGAATGCGACATGTAAAATCAGAGACTGAGATTTTCATAAATCAGAACTGGAAACTTACAACGTGAATCAAAGTAATCCAGTTTAGTGACTACAACAGAAACCATTATACCTCATATGATCAGCGAAAGGGTCTGTCCAAAGAAAAGCAAGCTCATCCTGAATATACAACCAACAAGGTGAACCAAATCGACCACAGCGCCCTCGCACTCCGGATGCCCTTGTGACGAAACTGCAGCTGCCGCTGATGCCGCTTTGCCCTTTTTAAAAAAAAACGTGAACTCGATGTCGCCCCCAATCCTCCTCCCACTCCACGTAAGGACGCGCTCCTCCCTTTCAGCCTGCAACAACCGACCTTCCTCCACAAAACTACGCAGGCAGAGGAGCAAAGGCAACCCATATGCCAAGAATCTCATGAAGACCCGCCCCCTTTCAAAGACAGTCTTCCCTCCATCCAGCGTGCTGACCTTCAACATCACTAGATGAAGCGTGAAGTCGGAGATGGCACCCCTGTGCTTTCAAAAGGCAGGCCACACCTAGTCACGCCACGCCATCTCTACCCTCCCACTATCAAGTCTCTCGCACCACAGCCCCCACCCGCCCACCGAGTCGCATGACTCTCCGTTGGCTCCCGCGTTGCGCCTCGTCCGCTCCGATAGTGCTCGAGCGGGGGCGCAGCGCTCCCGGTCGCGCTGCGCCCAGTGTCCCAACTCTTCTTATAACTCTCTCCAAAAATTAAACTTTGAAACTTAGAGAAAAAAAGCTCTCTGCTGAAACCCAGGTCCAATATCTAACAATCTTGTAATGGTCTTCATAAAAAATTATGAGAGCATAATCTGTGGCCATCTGTGTTTATAAATCTCATTTAATACCGGTCTGGCCGCCAAGCTACTCAGGCTGATTAATCGGTCGGGAGTTAGGCCAGGGACCAAGAAGACTGCAGAAACCTGAAGCATAGGGCCTCGTAAGGCACTCCTTGTGGACCCGAAATCCACAAGGAAGTGCTCGTTCCACCTGTCCTTGGGGACTATTCGTGAAAAAAAATGTGAACACAACACAAGGAAATTTCCTTGTGGCATCCTTGTGGCTATAACCAATTTTTCCTAATCCCCAAGGGACATCCCAAGGTCCCTGGGAGCACAAGGAGGCGCGGAATTCGGAGCGGTGAAGGCATGCGTCGATGAACAGTTTCAGTTTGAGGGTGGTCAAGACGTGGTCCACCGAACGTGAGCACGGACATCCCTGCCCTCCACCGTCTGGGTGGCACCCCAACGGCTCCAAAAGGTCATTGTCCGCGTGAGACCTTCGTCCGTCGAATCGGGCGTCGCCGGCCGGTGTCATGAGGTCTGCTGCGTTGGGCGATCGTCGACAACGGTCGGAAATTAGAATGCGGCGACAACAATTATTTTGGAAGATCGTCGTTTTCGTCGGTTGTCGTCACGCCTTGCACGTCGGAGCACAGATCTTCCCTCGCTTTTTTTTTTTTCTCGACGGAGTTCTTCGCTGGACGATTGACCACTGACGTGGAGTTGCTGCCCTTTCCACGACCCTTACATGGTCGACCAACTGCACAGGCTGCCTCTGCTACTCCTCGTTGTCGTGCTGCTTCTCATCGTTGTCTTCTTCCACGTGTATTTCGTCGGCCTGCTCCCTGTCGCGGCTCGCAAAAGGAGATCTTCCAAGAACGGCGACAGGATGGATTGACGACTGACCAATGGCAGACCGACAACTCCCTGTCCTGCTCCCTGTCTTGCACTTCATCCACCACCTTGGCGTCGCTCGAGGAATTACTTCGCAACCCTACGCGTAGTCGGGACCATCGTCTGGAGCTTGCATCAATGTCCCCCGTCTATGCGTGCGCAACTGCTCCTTCAGTCGTCCCAGCGCCCTCTCCTGCTGACATCGAAGAACAACGGTAGACACGACCTGCAACTCAAGAGGTGTTAATACCGCACGTCCACCCTCTCCATCGCCCTCCATAGCCGCGACCTGGACACGGACCCGACGCTCTCCTGTCGTGTGTGTCGTCCTTCCACACCCAACGAAGAAGCCAAAGACGTCTGTTGAAATGTGACCCCTTTTCTCTGGATGCAGTCTCGCATACGGAAATGTGTTTCAAGGCGCAGTCGACGTGTGTGAAGGTCGACGGTGATGGACGCACCCGACGATGCCTGCGCACTCGCAACGGCCGGGGGACGGAAGTGACGCCGCCGCTGAGCCCGTTTCAGCAGTACGCCGTGTTCAGGCCGCCAACCGCACGTCGTCATCATCATCGCAGCCGTAAAATTCGAATTTCAAACGTCGACATCCCCCGGGTTAAATTTTTCTCCCGTCGCCCGCCTCATGCTGTTTCCCGCCACACGTCACTGGACCACGTCACCTCCACACGGACAAAGGACGGTGGACCAAGGACCACCGACCCTGCGGCCACTAATTTCCATATGAAAACGGTCGCGGGCATGCCACAAGGAAACATCCTCGGGGCAGGTCCCCAAGGATGAGTGGAACGACGCCGCAAATTTCCCTTAAGAGCCACAAGGAAATTCCCTTGTGGCTCAAAGAACTCGTAAGGAGTCTCTAACGACGCCCATAGTCGGGCTTTCTTGACCCCTAGGTGTAGCCGGTGCCCCGGGTGTTTGGCCCAAGGCCACCCGAAAGTGTTCGACCGAACATATTAAAAAAAAAAAAAAAAAAAAAAAAGTTTTTGTTTTTGATTTTTAACTCGAGTTTGGTTACGAATTTGAGCATACCTCCAACGTTGTTTGTATTATTGTTTTACATAACATATATTGTTTTCAAATTTTTTGGAGAACTTTTTTTTTTTTTTTTTTTTTTTTTATGTTTGCGCTCGGAGTTTCAACGCTCGTTTGTGTTCGGTCCCGAACGTTACGTTTACGATTTATTGGCGATGACTTGAAGAATGATGGAGGGAGGTCCTTTTTTTTTCACGTT